GTAGCTGTATTGGTCTAGAGGCAAAAGGAATCAGAACTCATGGTAGCTAATAAAAGATATCACGTTTTCCATGAGTTCTGCTTCCTTGTGGATTTTCAGGGAATTCGGATTTGAACTCCTGAATTCTGAAGCCAAGAGCACTCCTGACTAGAGGGCTACCAACATCTCTGAAAAATAACACGTCTCCTACAAGAGGTTTCTATTATTTAAGGTGGAAGAAATCTCTGGCAATCAGTTGACACTTGGAAAATTTTACCAGTATGGGTTGAAATCTTGCCAAAATAGCTTGGGTCAAATCCTATCCTGCCTATTAGATGTTTAAGAAGATGTAGGCACCTAAATGCAATCCTAATCACCCAGCTCAAATTTCTGAAAATCCATTGATGCGTCTATTTTGGTAACACACCATCTTACCCTTAAGCCTCAATGACAAGAAAGCAGTGAGGAGGAGTACTCCTTCATCTTCCATGTAAACAGAAGCATTTCAAGGGTGTGAGTAGAGTGGAATAAGATCCCACCCTTCTGCCTAAGTGCAGAGGTAACAAAGAGCTGGGAGAAGATTAAGTCCCTTGTGAAATTTCACTACTGTGGGATCCAAACCAGTTCTGAACATTTTCTATTCTTGAAGAACTAAAAGCCTGCCCTAGGAATGGGTTATTATATACTGAAATCCATTACTTGACTAGCATCACAGATCATCAGCTGGTTTTGCCAACTTCCCTGTGATGAATACAGCTTTTGCTTTTTACAGGGCTATCTAGCAGTACTTTGCTCAAGCCAGGCTCTCTTGCTATTGAAATGAAAGGTTGTGTTTATTAAAAGTGAGTGCTGGCAAAGAGTCAACTTTTCAATGTACAAGATACCTCTTCAACGATATAAAATAGAAGCTGACATTGTGGGGTACTGAACTTGGGCGTCAGCAAATCCTTCTATTGTACATGATTAACTAGCTGGCTTTGATTGTCCGGCTAGGCTTAGTTTAGCCTTGATGACACTTGCCTCAAGAGGGCAAGAGGTTACAAAATATGTTACTTTTGTGAAAAGTATGGAAACTTTCAGTTGCCATCTAACAATTGAAGCTGATCTATTTGATGAATGCTCTTGTGCTACTCAGCATGGCAAATATAATGCTGTAAGACTGGTAAGAAAAGAAGAATCCCTCTCACTGGTATGTGAGATTTGTTTTTAATCCTTTTAGAGCAAGATGACTTTTCTTACTGTGTTTTTTGTTAAGTACTCCAGGCACTGATTCACCTATTGAGAATGTATTGTGATCATCAGCAATAAGTGATATAAAGACTTCTGGGCAAGAAAGCAGAATGTTAGAGACTACAGATGGGGATACTGTTTTGTGATCAATTTAGATAGCTACTGCTAAAAAAGAAGAGTGAGAGAGCTGGGAAGTTAAAAAATCCCAAGTTAAACCAAACTCTATAACTAAAACATTTAGAAAAAGGCTTTATACAAAGAAAGAATATTTACTTTTTGCAGTTACGTATTAGACATATCAAGTCAAATTCTAATCTAACCCATTACATACAACTTATTTAAGTTCTCGTGTACCTCGTCATATTTATCAACTTGGAAAACACAGGATTATATAAATTAGGAAAGAAGAGATTTCCCTTGTATCCTGTCCATCTGCTATATAGTCTGGTTTGTTCTGTCCCTGTATCCTGCCCATCTCCTGTATCCTGTCTATAAGGATGGCTTCCTATAGAACTGTAACTATACTCTCAGACAGATCATGTTGGGTTTGAACTCTGCATCTTTTACCTACAAGACTGAGATGCTACTTTATTGAGGTGAAAAGTCATTTTCAATAACTTTGAAACAGTAGTTGACTCATGAACCTCAAGTTGCCATAGGAAGAACTGATGAAAAGTTAATATGGGTAGCAGCATTTTCACTAGGACTGGTTGAAAAAAATAGTTTAGTTAACAAAAAATCTGTTGAAAAATAGAAAACTTTTTCATTGTTTCAGTGATTTTTTTTTTCTTTTATATATCAAATATTTGATAATTTTTGTGTGGGGAATATACCTTTTTACATTTTTTCACTTGGCTAAACCAAAGAAGGACATGAAAGAAAAGCATGAGAAAGTTGTTTGTTACCCATTGATATGAAACAGTATTGCTCTAAAATTTCAAAATGTTTGCTTAGAATTTTTTTTGGGGGGGGGGGG